ATATTAACTATACAATTGCCGAAATGCCGACCCAAAGGGAGTTCGCAGAGAAAATCAATTTGTCTCCAGCTATCTATAAGTTACCAAAATACCTAAAACAAGCTAATATTACTCTACCGCTTCTGGGATAAAAGGCGTGAAGTTATGTTATGATATGTGTTATACTATATTCGTAATACAACTATACGTGTACCTTGAATGAAATAATATACCTTTAGTCCAGTAAGAAGGAAAACTGCTAGACTCGATAAAAATTGTGTAGGTACAGAAAAGTTTACTAGAAATGCGAATTTGGCATTCGAAAAATTTAATAATATTTTGCTCTTTCAGCACTCGTGTTTGTGAGTACTCCAACAACATACTAGTCAGAAGCACTTATTCTGAATAGTTCTGCGGAATTAGCAATATCATCGATGTTATTTTCTATCCAGGTAAAAGAAAATTACACTTATCTGTTAGAATATTACACGAATAAGGTATGTACATGAATTTCTGGCTTCAGTGTTCAGAATGGGTGATAGAAGAGTGAGATAGTACTATATGGAGTTTGGACGTTTCATTTAAAAATAAATCTATACATATAAATAAAAATGCATTCTCGTTTGCTAGTCTCGCTAGTCGTTCGTTGGTCGCATTGAGCAAGCGTGGTGATTAATGCTCAAACCTTCTCCGTGTGAGAAGAGGCTTTGCTCAGCAGTGGGAATTTATAGGCTGTTGATGATGATGATGAGTTTCGCTAAAACTTGAGAACGGCTAAACCGTCTTGAAATATTCGTAGAAGTCCAGGGAAGGTGGCAAAAATAGGCAGTACTAAGTTTGCCGGGTTCGCTAGTTAATTCATAAATAGGGTAAGTTGTTTTGCTATAGGTTAGAAAATAATCTGATTAGTTTTCTTACCAATATTATAGAGGTAAATGTGAAGTTTTATGAGTTTTTGTGTGTTCAAAACGGCTGAAGGGATCTGAATGAAATTTGGAAAAAGAATAGATAATAGTCTAGGTTAACACATAGGCTACATTTTATTCCACGAGCATGCGGACGAAGCCGCGGGCAGTAGCTAGTATTTGAGTAAATAAAGAATGTGTGAGCAAGTTGAAGTTGAAAAACTGAATAGAATTACAAAGCAAACAGTCATCTACTTTCGCTTCTCATGGTTGTTCTAGTAGTATATAGGGTAAATATCATTTACAGTTGATGTGATAGAAAATCGATCTAATTATTAATCGTAGGTACTTTCAACCAAAATTCTATCTATTTATCAACCGCCAATTCAATCAAGTATTTAACAAGACTCTGTATTGTGCCTACGTACTGTTTTACAACCTAATAAAATTACCTAACGTCAATGTTAAGAATTTTTATGGCGACAATTTGACAATTCCCCGGAATGTTACCAACTTCACCCATTCTATTGGGGACAGAATCGAATAATACCAAAAACTGTTCGCTCTCAATCTTTTTTATTGCTCTAATTTATGGATGACACGTATTTAAGGTGTTTCCGAGGTTTTATTTAACTTTCAAGGTGATTTTTCTGTTCGTAATAAAATGTAGGTTAATTTTTTGGCACTGAATAAAATTGTAATGTATTTTCACTAGTTATTTGAATTTAGGGAGACTGTCTCGTTGGTTTGGTGGTCAGAAGTGTTACTGTTAAGCAAGAGGTCTGAGGTGTCTCATTTAATATCTGGGGGTTTAGTATAGGAATATTGTTTTCTCAGTAATAAAACGTACTGGAAAGTAGAGGGAACCAGGTCAGATAGATCACCTACGCGCTGAACTGATCAAGTTAAATCAAGAACAGGAAATCCAGAATCAGACTGCGAAAGACAATCCTCAAACAGTGAGAGATGGCGGGAGATCAAAGCCGTATCTGCCTCCAACACAAATACGGTGCCTCAACGTGACCACGATCGCTCTGCCAAGAGCGAAAGGACAGAGAAAAAAGGTGGACGTACTCTGATATTGTGTGCGATTTGTGACTCATATATGACTCATAACATAATATAGAAGACTAAAAATGAGTACCTACTGTACTGTCGGTGCATATGCAGTATATTAATATACATCTACTTTTTTATGGAATAGGAGGCAAACGAGCAGACGGATCACCTGATGGTAAGCGATCAGCGCCGCCCATGGACACCCGCAACACCAAAGGAGCCACAGGTGCGTTGCCGGTCTTTTAAAAAGGAGTACGCTCTTCTCTTGAAGGTCTGAAGGTCTTATCGGTTCGGTAATACCGCCGACGACAGATCTTTCTACAGTTTTGCTGTGCGAGGTAGAAAGCTACGTGAGAAGCGCACAGTTGTGGCCTGCCAACCATCGGTGGGAATGTTAAAAGATCAACGAACCACATATTTATAATTAAATAACAATGGGACTTGTTAAACTAAGTAAAACAATAAACAATTTATATTATATAATAATTATTATGTTATGTGTCAATAAAGTACCAACAGTATTAAGCATTCTTTGTCACAAGTAGAACCTTTACCCATTGTCCTTCCATCATTAAATATGGAATGTACATGAAAACAATATGGCGTAAACTAATTACATGTTAAACACAATAAAACCAAAGCATTTCCCGTTAACAACGTTCAAAGCTACAGCGTGTTCTTGTTTTACATACAAATCTTCTGAATCTAGTTACGTCTCCCCGAGCACACAGATTTCTCCTCACACGTAGTAATTAAATTCCCAATTTAATTTGGACGTGAGTTACGAAACTTTTTGTCTAATAAGGGTTTTTGTTTTTCCTAAAATTAGTTAACAAGTGTTGTTCTAAATTTAGTTTTAATTGCTTTGAGTTTAATTCGTAATTCGAACACACAATAACTTCTTAAAAATGAGCAAAGACAACTTCAGTAATGGATCAAACAGTATTTTTTTTCTTTTGTAGTTTTTGAAGTAAATGCTTTAAAGGACATTGCTCTTCGTCCATACATTGCTGGCCCTGGACCCAAAAGAGTATCGGATAAATATGTATTGTATTCGCTATCATTTTTAGACTCCTAGAAGATCTTATTTTTTATAGCGGACTAGCTGCAGAAAAGAGATATTTCAAAAATAGTATCAGATTTTGAGGTTATAATCTAACCATAACAACGAATATTTGAACGAATGTTGAATGTTTGAATTATGGTATAGAAGTAAAGAAGTTTTGATTACTGTATAATATTATTCTTACTACCTATTACGACGATTATTATTTATTACATTAGGCGAAGGCATTTCACATTAGACGATTTTTTAGTGCATAAGCCGGGAAACGAGCAGACGGATCACCTGATGATACGCAATCGGAGTCGCCCATGGACACCTGGAACACCAGAGGCGTTACAAGTGCGTTACCGGCCTTTTGGGGATTAGGAGTTTGAGGATCGTTGGGGTTTCAGGGATTGGGGAGATTGGGATAGGGGAGGGTAATTGGGCCTCCGGTAACCTCACTCACACGACGAAACACAACGCAAGCGTTGCTTCACGTCGGTTTTCTGTGAGGCCGTGATATCACTCCGGTCGAGCCGGCCCATTCGTGCCGAAGCAGGCTCTCCCACACTTAAATAATGTTATTAATCGCGTTAAATTCTATTTAAATTACATTTTGGAATACAGCTAGTCCGTGATACAGAAGAATTTGCAACTTATTTTAAAATAGGGGATTTATTATCATGTATTGTGATACTCTTTATTACACAGGCATTTTGGACATTGTCCTTTCGCTTTGCATTGAGCACGTATAATTTTTTTATTTTATTTTATTTTTTTATTTAGATAAAACATTGCCCCACATTAGGATTTTCTCCGTAGGTGCGTTTAGAAATATACAAGTTCACATACACATGACACCCAGACCCAAAACAACAATTTGTAGATAACACAAAGTGTTGTTCCGTGCGGGAATCGAACCAGTGGCACGTTGCATGGCAACCGGTTGCCCGGCCACCGCACCAACCGTGCAGTCATGTGCAATTTATGATCTTTAAATATAGTTTTCGGTTGAAGTATACTGAACTGATAAATAATAATAAAACTGAAAAATCAGGATCGTGCAGATGTGACCAATGAGTTCTAAATGATGGTTTAATTTTTTTTCCAAATGAACCAATCACGAATGAGTAAAGACCCATAACCTACACAAGCGAGCCTATTAAATTCCACGACCCATTTTACGGCGCGACTTTTGACAGCAAACCCGTAAATAGTTTACGTTTTACGCTGATTTTTATCACTTAGATTACGCGATACGCCTTTTTTACGCGTCATATTTATGAATAAGTCATCATTCGATGTTATTACGATGTTTTTATTGGGTTCGAATACGGTCGCATAATTATTGTGTGTAGAAAATAAAAGGTTGTTCGAGGTGACAGTTATGATTTTTGTTAAGTTCAGTCTGTTTTGTTTAGTCAGTTTTATTTAGATAAGTTCAGTCAAGAATTAGGAATATTACTACAAAGACAAGTAAGCCAATCACTCATGAATTCACTACAATTATTCCACTAAATCCCTTGTATTCGAAATTTAGCTTATTGCGATACTACAGACATTGTTCCAGTCTATGCTTTATTAGTATTTTGCAATAGATCAGCCCAATAGTACTTCAGAGTGAGCTAACACAGGGGTCACACAGAGATTCTTCAATGAATGCGGTAACAATCACTGAATGAAACAGTGTATCGACACATACCACAGCTTATACTTAGTACAACAAAGGTAATACTGTCATAACACCGACATTTCTCAAAGAAAACAACAAGGTCATAAGTCAAGTCCACTCATATCCGTCGATTACACATAATTATAATAAACTTATGAATCAGTTCCATTCATCAGACACGATACTCAATAGCACTCGCCGTTCAAACAATTATATTACTAAACATCTTATTAACTTCAATATTTACAAATGCTTTCATTGTTTGTATGAACAGTAATTATTCTGTATCCAACACATCCACACATTGTTGGATTGTTACTCAAACCGCACACAGTACACACGTGCCCTGCAAAAACTCCAAAAATAAGAAACATAATTTCACTTAATACAATAAAAAGTGGTGCTTTCAAAAATTACGTAAAATTCTGACAGACTTTATAAAGTGCAAATACGTTCAACCAGTATAAAATTCCAACACGTTTCTGTTTAAAACTGTAGTAATTTGCGTCGGCTAACGTTCGAACTATTCCCGCTTCCATAAAAGTGCAACCTCATTCTGACCCAATAATTCCTGATCGTGAAACCAATTCGCGTTTGTTGGACATTTAAAACAGAAGATGAAACTGTACCCTCTAGTGTTTATAATAGTGAGTATCGAAGCAAAGGCTAGGACTAAATTCTGTGACGTGGCTTCCTCTGACCCAACAAAACATTGCTTCGTGAAAGAAACTTTGACGACCATTGCACACAGCCCCAACCAACTGTCCGTGGACAAAGCCACCAATACGCTATACTTCAGCTTTGATTTCGGACAAGGAGAGTACGTGCCGGCAATACTACATATGGATAGCAAAAACCTAAATGTATTAAAAGGGGTTAGAGACGCGTTTGCTATAGCCAATGATCCTACAACAGGAGAAATGTACTTCGGAGGCAGCCATGGGATCTACAAATACAATGCAGTCAGCAAGTTCCTGCAGCGGTTGAACATTAACAACTTGGACATCTGGTGGCTGTTCATCAAGAAGAATATATACTTTATCAAATTCCCAAGCCTCAGTGCGTATTACTATGAGAACAGAACAATAAGAGCCGTTCCTGCACTAAAGGGTGATATAGTTCATCAATTTGTTTTGGATAAAGAGGATAATATTTTCTTTATCAATGGCTCAGGTTTGTTCGGTATTAAGCAAGATGATACCTCGCCAGTATTACTGAGGGATCACCCAAGATTTCTGGGGATTGCGACGGATAACAATGGGGTCGTTCATGTGTGTAGCGAGGATGGTATATTTGTTATCACTAAAATGGTACAAAAAGTGAAGAAAGTTATTAACGTACAAGGAGTATTGGGTATGACGTTTGACAAATCTAATAATATTATCTATTCCGATTCCCACGAGATCATAAGGCTACTTCCGTTATCAAAAGAGAATTACAATGAAAATGATCATGGACAATAAAACCATGTACAAACGAAAGTTAGTTTTAAAGACTATCCACTTTATTATTTTGAATTAAATGGAAAACCTGATGAAGAACCAAAGAAAAAGACAAATCAATGAATATTACTTACGAATGAAGTACCTAATCGGTGTACAAAATAACTAAACATCGATTCTCAATACGTTTTACAAACGTAAGTAGGTTAATGAAGTTTAGTTTTAAATGAATACGTATAAATGTACATAGTAATTATTATTTCTCTCTCTCTCTCTCTACTCTGCTCTCTCTTTCTCTCACTCTCTCTCTCTCGACTGCCTCGTTGGTCGAGTGTTCGCAAGTGCGACTACCGGGCAAAGGGTCTCAGGTTCGATTCCCGGGTCGGGCAAAGTGTTACTGGGTTTTTTAAAAATTCTCAGTAGTAGCACAAAATCTGGAACTGTGCCCGGTATGTGGCAATAGGCTCACCCCCTATTACATGGGACTCATAACATAAATAGTGAAAAGTGGGTGTTACATTGTCCAGTGGCTTAATGTGCACCTCTGCCTACCGCTTCGAGGATAAAAGGCGTGATGTTATGTTATGTTGTGTATAATTATTATTATGTAATTTAATTATGTATGCAATTAAATAAATGATTAAACTTGTCCCGTTTAATGATAGTTCCATATCAGGGACTTAAGCCTTTTCCATTTTAAAATTTATAGTGGCGCCACCAAGTTTTCAAATGTGTGGATGCAAATGATAATGTAAAGTATTTAAAAAGAAATGCAGTAATTGTTTCATTGTACGCTATTGTTTCTAAAATGTAGGTATGTCAACATCGTTCGCCATCATTAAATACAAGAGCAGTTTAATAAATGACCTTAAATGCAATGCCTTTAGTTTTATTTCCGAATGTATTAAATTATAGTTTTTGCTTCCTGGCCTTTTGCCAAATGGTGATGGCCTGGTCTATTCATTATTAAACTAAATGTTAATGTTTGAGGTAGTTACAATAAATTGAAGCAGACTGTAATTTTATTTGTAAAGAAGCTATTGACACAAGTATGATACAGGCTACGACACCAACTTTTCAGCGTCTCTCTTCTAATTCTTCTGTTTTAATTTTTCAACTCAATGTTTTTATTACTTCCACTTTCACACCTTTATTATATTTTATTTATGCTGCATCATGCCTGGTGCTGCTGAATAAATTGTTTTTTCTTTTTTTCTAACTTAAACATAATAAAATTCCTCTTTGTATTAGGATTTTTTTAGGTGTAGGTTAGAAGTATCGTAACGAAATGCATCTTTTTTAAACTGACTTCAAGAAAAGAAGGAAGTTCTCAGGTTGACCTGTATGTATGTATGTATGTATGTGTGCAATTAGCTGAACCAATTTTGATGTGATTTTAAAAAAGTGTTTGTTACATTTAGGAGAAGGTTTTACGGTAATATATTAATTAACTGGTTTAAAAAAAGAGGGAGTTGAAGTCGAATTTATTAATCAGGAGAAATTATATCTTTTATCAGAGAAAGCATTTTGTGATTCTTCTAGTCTAATAACTAAAATTAACTTCTTTATTCGCAATTACAACTTTAAACCGACCACTAGCGGAACCAGAATAATCAATAATTGACTCAGTACATTGATTCTGTTTGTATATTCCGAAGTAAATCCGATTGATATCCATGCCCTAGTTAACAAACAGTGATACAAGTCAACAGTGCGATGTATTTTAGTCGTTGTTTACACACATGTTGACGTGGCTATTCCACAGACGTTACAATATAAACATACTGTTATTGTCTGCACTGGATTCATATTGTGAATTGGTCTGCATTGTAACGTTCATAGGGTAACTGTCCACGTTGCGTCATTTTTATTTATATTTGATGGGTCGACGTTTGCCCACTATGTCGTCTGGTGATGCGGTCTACGATGGAGCACGTCGTCCCATAAGCAACCTATTCACTCAGGCCTTGAAGACACCCAGGTTATACCCGTCCGGAAATACAGACTCTAGCAAAGAATTCCACTTCTTCGCAGTACGTGCCAGGAAGCTTGATGCGAAGCGCTTCGTGTGTTTGAGTGGGATATCTACCATGAATCGATGATGCTTCACCGATTATCTTTATTTGACGAATGCATGCATCCTTCACAAACAATAGGCGGCCTACAAACGATAAATGCTTGCATCTTCCACAGAAACATTAAAACCTCTTCTCGAAGTGGTAACGTCAAAGCCGCCCATAGTTTATGACGCATGCATGCAGTCGTCAAAAAACGCAACGAGACCAGTAAGCCTTAGTTAGGAATACATAATTATATTAAAATAGAGAAATACTAAGTTGGTTTACACGTTTGTTTGTTTGTTTTAGTAAAACAATAGTAATGTGCTTTACTATGTTTTATGCAGCATTGACAAGGCAACTACGAACAAACAAAATATTTTTTTCTTCCGCATTGCTTGGCTACTGGTGCCTCTAGGATTATAATTGAGATATCCTGGTTAAAAACAGTGGTCAATTAATAAAAATATTGATATTTAATTTTGCAGACAGTAAATCAAAGACTGCCTCGTTGGCCGAGTGGTCACAAATGCGACTACCGGGCAAGGGGTTTCGGGTTCAATTCCCGGGTCGGGCAAAGTATTATTTGGTTTTTATAAAATTCTCAGTAGTAGCACGGAGTTTGGAATTGTGCCCGGTATATGGCAATAGGCTCACCCCCTATTACATGGGACTCATAACATAAATAGTGAAAAGTGGGTGTTACATTGTACAGTTGCATAATGTGCACCTCTGCCTACACCTTCGGGGATAAAAGGCGTGATGTTATATGTATAATAGATTTTGATACAATCTAATGTACTGATAAATGTGATTAGGTACCAATAACAAAATATCATCAACGCCTAGTTCTGCAGACAGAGCTTGATGTATTGAGATGTTGGTATTTGAATAAAGAATTATTATTATTTCTTATTTTTATAATTACCTATACGAGCTACGTAAGTAAAGCCATTGATTTAGTGATAGAAATAAGATATTACAGGACAATTCCAATTTGTATATTTCTTTCCTCTACCCATTTATCCTCGATAACTGTCATTCCTTCCCAAATCTTACCAACCCTTTGTCTTATTAACGTCAATATTTAAACTATGGATTTCCTTAACAGAAATACCTGTATTTGATTGAAGAATTCGTTTCATGTCATTCCAAAGACGTATGACTAGGAACTTAATTAAATGCCGAGGCAAAACTGAATGATTATGTATGTATGCTGTTTATTACAGCAGGTCAGTTATGAGGTCAGTTTGAGGTGTACGTATCGTCATTCAAGAGAGCCGAGGGGTTGGGTATTGCAGACTTAGACTTAGTAACTGCTTTCTTTTGTGTTATTTATACATTCCACTTGACTTCAAGAAGACCAATTTATTTGCAACATATCACGACTTTTTGACGAATTTACCAAAGCTTAGACGAAAGTGCGTAATGGATGTAACTACTTGATTTACTTTTCACTTGTCTAGCTTGTGTATTACCCATGTAATACGCAAGCTACACTACTTGCTTGCGTATTACCCATGTCATACGCAAGCTACACTACTCTCTCTGTAGACAAGCGCTAAAGTGGCGTTTGGCTAAAGGCCTAGGACTGATAGCAATTTATTTATTTTATTATCAGCCATGATCGTCCCACTACAGGGCAAAAGCCTCCCTACCCACATTCCACTCCTCTCTATGTAAAGCGTTGTGCGGTCAATCCTTGTCATAGATGTCCAATTCGTCTAAAAATATAACTAAGATATATACTGATAACAAACACTAAACTTTAAGTGTTGGAGAGTCATGTTTCGGCATGACTAGGCCGGCTCGACCGGAATGATACCACGGCTTCACAGAAGACCGATGTGAAACAACGTTGTGTTGTGTTTCGTCGTGTGATTGAGGTTACCGGAGGCCCAATTACCCCCCCCCCCCTTCCCCAATCCCTGAATCCCCAACAATCCTCAAATTGCTAATCCCCAAAAGGCCGGTAACGCACTTGTAACGCCTCTGGTGTTCCAGGTGTCCATGGGCGACGCCGATTGCTTACCATCAGGTGATCCGGCTGGTCGTTTACCGACTTATCCCATAAAAAAGTAAAAAAATAAATCTAAACGCAACAAAAATATATCAAGTGTAGTTATTTTACTCTAAAAATGCGACTGAAAGAGTTCCACAATCATTTACAGTTATTTATTTACAAACTTATATGGCAATTGGTATCAATATGAACGTTATGCAAACATTAGCTCACCGAGTTCGTGCTCTATCTGATAGAGAAAGCATTACCAATATCAACACAAATATATAACAACATACAATCTAGATTTGTATAAATTCTTGTTTGATCGTTGCAAATATTTGGTACCGATGTGGGTACTCATTATTAAATAGAAATAAATACAGGTTGGTATTAAATTCATCACCAGTCGTTGATGAGATGAAAAGAGGTCTTTACCTAGAAGTGAGACTGTTATACATAACATAACATCACGCCTTTTATCCCCGAAGGGGTAGGCAGAGGTGCACATTATGCCACAGTACAATGTAACACCCACTTTTCACTATTTATGTTATGAGTCCCATGTAATAGGGGGTGAGCCTATTGCCATATACCGGGCACAATTCCAGACTCCGTGCTACTACTGAGATTTTTTTTTTAAAAACCCAGTAATACTTTGCTCGACCCGGGAATCGAACCCGAGACCCCTTGCCCCACAGTCGCGCTTGCGACCACTCGGCCAACGAGGCAGTCTGCGAGGCAAGTGAGACTGTTATACTGCTAGTAAAAGGGCCTTTTTTCGTACACAGAATCAGTATCACCACATTAGCCCGAAAGGAATTGGCATAATATAATACACTAGCCGCCTGCCGAGTCTGCAAGCGGTCACCGGTGACCGCTCTCCACTTACTTCATTATAGACCTTATTTCCGAAATTTAGAGACTACTTTTGTATGAACAAATGGTGTGCATCTTAATCG